ATATACACATATGTTTACAGATGTATGAATAACATAGGTAAAATTCACATATTTTTCACCTATTATTGAAAACACTTTGTTTGCGCTAAATCTAGACAGGTAGTATGTATGACAGGTAGTATTTAGGCCAACTTAAAGATGTGGTGGATGTTGAAGGTGAGGACCCTTAGTATGTAGGAGCATTCGGTAAATAAATAGGCATGCATACAGAAGACAAATGTACGTGGTTCACCCGAATGATGGGCTACGTCCACAGAGAAGTATGTTCTCATTATAATAATGTGTGTATACATTGTACATAGGGTTAGACCCAAGGGGAAGAGGAAGAATACCGAAGGCCGAAGGCAGATGCCGAAGGCTGATGGCCGAAGGCAGATGATCTGGCTGATGGCCGATGATTCGTGGGCTTGTAAATGGGCTCATGAGTAAGCCCATGAGGCCCTAGTAGCCTGCCCAACCTCTTTCTTCCTCCCCCTCTCCCTTGAAGGAGAGGGGTCTTCTTTTATAGGGAAGGGAGAGTCCCCTTCTCTTGTGTTTTGTCGATGTGGGACTCCCTTTCCTTTGCTTGGATTAGCTTGGAAATGCTTGGAAATGCTTGGCCAGATATTGTACAAACACACTTTAAATTTTTAAATAATTAATATAAAATACTCTATAGTGGCCAAACTTTCACCATATTTATTGTTGGCACTAAAACTGAACAGATAGAGATGAGTGCAACTTACAAGTAGTGAGGACGATCTAGCAGATCGATTGAATGATAGATGCAGATTCTTCTTGTCCTTGGATGCAGATCCTGAATAGAAGAGAGTTGAGACTCGTGAGGTCTATGGAACCGGTGTGGAACCAGCCTAAGACCCTCCGATGCCAAAGTAAATTTGTTTCTAAGAGCTCTTGTTGTTGACCATATAAAAGTATAAAAGTCAAGCTGAAAAGTCTTGCCCTTGTAGTGGAGGGGCCTATTTATAGAGGGCATTTCATATGCTCTTAGTACTTAATTTCGATGTGGGACTCATGGGAGGGCCCTATGAGGTTGACACGAGTCCTTAGATACTTCGGGCGGGTGCTTCAAGGTTGATTCTGCAGAATCGGTAAGGGATACCGATTGTAGGCTGTGTTGGGCCTGTAGCGATCTTTTGCTGCTTTGAGACAATATCATTGGTAACCGATGCCGATTGTTCGGAGCCTTTGGGCATTTGGGGAGTTTAAGCGATCCACGTGTCAATGGATGAGTGGAGGATCAGATATGGTACAAACATTTATAAATTAAAAAAATCGTATATTACTAATTATAATTAAAAAAATCGTATATTACTAATTATAATTAAAATCGTATCTCAAATAGAACGTAGAACATATTAGATCAATGCAGGGCTGCACATTATTACCGAAAACCCGACCGAACCGCCCGAACCAGACCGTTTAAGGTGGTTTGGTTCGGTTTTTAAGCTGTAAAATTGAAGAACCAGTAAAATAAACCGCCCGAACCGCCCCTGAACCGGGTTGGACCGGTTTTAATTGTCCAAAAACCGGACCGAACCGCATATTTAAATTATATTATTAAAATAATAAGTATTACACGTGTCAAGTTATGATTGGTGGAGTTTTAGCCGGTTTCGCTGCTCTTGCTACACCAGATCGAGCGAAACCCTAAGTTTTAACTTCGTTCGATTTTTTCATTCCGCCTCCTCCCTTCTCTTCTCTCAGACTCCCTCTCGAGTCTCACCTCTGCCTCTCACAATCACTCTCACCTCTGCCCGTGAAACTCATCCAGATTCATCACTCAATCTCTCTCAGTCACTCTCTCTGTCTCAGCCGCTCTTTCTCAGTCACTCACTCTCTCTCTCTGTCTCACCCGCTCTCTCTCTCTTTCTCTTTACAGATTTTTCTCACCCGATTTCTCTGTCACTCTCTCTCTCTCACCCGCTCTCTCTGAGTCTCTCTCGCTCTCTCTCTCAGTTTGAGGTATATGTGTAAACCCTAAAAATTTAGGGATTT